GTGGCGAGGCACTGTGTACGTGTGCTCGCTTTCGCCGCGCCGAGAGTATATATACTTGTGCTTGTGTGTATGGGTACAGTTCAGTACAGTTTTGCCAGACCTGATTCTGTATCACTGGCTGAGTAGGCAGGAGCCTTAAGATTGATCTCATATCGAGATTCGTACGCTTTGCACACTTACAATTGTCCAATTGAATTAATCCATAAGCCCTTGTGGAGAACTTAATATATATCAATGTAGTATCAACATATAATCTAAAATGCTACTCCTAAACATCCCTAAATCTTATTATATTTTGTGACTTAGATATATAGAATTTTTTTCTTCCATCCACCATAGAATATATCAATAATTATTGATGATTCACTTAATATAATATAAAAAATAGAGATGAAGATCTCTCTGAACGACATCCTTCTTAGTCGATTGTTAACAGTGATAAGAAGACTTTGAAATGTACTTTTGCGTGAAATGTTGTCACACTGAAGAGGATCTGATGTGAAAAGACCGAAATGTCTGTTGTACGTATGTTTGCATAATTGTTATTGTATTATAACAGATAAATATTGTATTATTATAACACAAATATTGTATTATATGTAGCACGCACATCAAGCGTAGTTTCTTTGCCTGTTTATAATTTGATTGTTTGAATTTTATTCGTTGGAACCTAATACATTGTGTTTAATTTGAAAACTGTAAATAATTATTGTGAAAAATAGTTCAATCAGGGTAAATTGAAATTAATTAGTATGTGATATATATTTTTAAAACAAAACCGCTCAGATATATATAAATATTATAAAATTTTATATTAGTTTTTAATAAGAAAAATATAAAGTAACACAATTGAAAATTTTTATTAATATAAATCTGAGCTATTTATTCAAGAATATCGGTTTATTTAAGAATAAAGATTTTCTACTTATTTTATCATTCTTAATAGAAGAGACCAATTTTTATCGATTTTTTTTTTTGAAATTACCGATTTTTACCGCTGAATTTTATGCAAAAAAATATTGAATTTTTGTTACAAATACATCGGTTAACAATGTCTGTTAAAAAAAACAGCATAAAATATGGCAATTCTGTTACCAATACGTCTTATTTATTCAGATTGCAAATTCAGTTGTCACTGGAAGTGTTTGAACAATGTGTGTCGTGTATGCGTGCATGTAGTCGCCAGTGAAGCTGGCGGATACACGCACACGAAGGATATCTGTCCGGAGCAAGGCCTCTCGAAGCAAGGCTACCGTTGCGCGGAATGTAAAGTGCGAATAACATTCAGTAAGTATTTAATAGATTAGATTAAAAAATGTCTTAATTGTAAATAAGTACATAAATGGACTGTTTGCTTGATTATCATATTTGTTTAATGTCTGTTAATTATTCTATTTCTTTGATAACTATTAAAATATTCTATAAGATTATGATAATGATAATGAATCTATTGTCCTCCTGCAAGCTTTCTCAAAAGGATTATCGTTATCCTGCTTCGGCAATTCCTTTAAGAATGCAGGTATCTAATATATTAATAGCAATGTATTATACTAATACATTAAAATGTTATGCAGATATGTTGTTATCTCAATATAAATATCTTATATCTTTATTTATTACTTCAATTTTGTCATGTGTAACTGTATTAAGATACTTTGAGATATTTTAAATACATTTTTGTATCTTTTACCAAATATTTATATGGAAATTATAATTTCCTATTAGATTGACGATACGTAGAATTTTTTCATAGATATATATTTCTTAAATCATGATATTTATAATTATATACAATCTGATAATCAAAATAGTAACACTTCTAGAATCAGCATGGGTAGAGCCTCGACTTTGCGACTACAGCGGTTTATATTACTGTCAAAGATGCCATTGGAACACAGCCATGGTCATTCCTGCGAGAGTAATCAGAAATTGGGACATGGAGCCGCGTCTGGTGTCTCGCGCCGCAGTGCAGCTTTTGATGCTTTTGGAGGATCGTTCCGTACTAACGCTAGAAGAATTAAACCCGAAACTCTTTACCTTAGTTCCGGATTTATCACTTGTAAAGGTAAGTCTTAAACATATCACTGTGTATATATATAATAATTATAAAACATATATATTAGAGTAACTAAATTAAAAATTATTAGATATAAGTTATGCATCATAAATCTCTTTTTTTTTTATCAAAATGAAATTAAAATAAATTTGGATTACATTTTTTTATTATACTGCAAATTATGTACAATCAATGTATCATATTAAAAAATCATTTCTTCTTCATTAAATGTAGCTATTTTAATATGTACATTTAATTAAATGATAATATTATCTAGATAGATACTGAGATATGTTACTATTAAATTTTAGCGAATGCGAGAGGAAATGCAGATGATGAAGAAGTATTTAGTTCTATGCGTGGAAGCTTGCACTCAGGGATTACCGTGGAAGATTGGATTGCGCACACATATGATCGAAAATTCGGGTAATTATTCCATCAAGGATCTCATTGATCTTCAAAGTGGTATTCTCTTAGACGAGCTTCGTACTGCGTACGATACGATGCACGCGCACATTACGCAGCAATGCGAGCTCTGTAAGGCAAGGTAAATATTTAAAAAGAGAAAGGATTCATTTATTTATATTAACTTACTTTTAATGATGAATTCATATGTCAAGGCTCACCATTATCATGTTTTCGAACTTAATACATATAGAATAGTGTTTATATAATAATATAAAATTTCACATGTGGTACATTTTAATTAATGTAATGTGTATTGTATTTCAAGACTTCCAATAATTTCAATTAGAATTAAAAGTAATAATGACAGTATATTTTTTTTACTGTATGATTCAATCCTGACGTCAGCTTTTTTATAATTGGAAGTTTAATTATAACTACTATCTACGTTTTTTTTTAGCAATATTACACAGCACGTTATTTTTACCAAGAAGTTATATGTGCGCACGCACGCACGCACGCACGCACGCACGCACGCACGCACGCACGCACGCACGCACGCACGCACGCACGCACGCACGCAC